TTAATAGCCACGGCCCACCGCTACTATTAGCAAGAGCACCGTTTAGCGTTGAACGTTTTCTTACTCCTCTTTTTTTCCTATGTTCTAGCTCGTGCGCCAGCCTTAACAGCGCTTGTCGTTCTCTTAGCCGCCCCGTTTTTTTTTTGTTCCCGCTTGTCCGCCAGCTTTAGTGTCGCTTGCCGTTCGCTAAGCCGCCTCGTACTGCCAGCCGCTGTTGCGCAGCGCCCTCCCCTCCTCGTCGACCCGCCCGCGTCTGCATCATCGAAATCGGTCGTCCACAGACGCGTTTATTGGCGATCGCCTCATCTCTTCTTGCTCCTCCACGCTCCTTCTCCTCACACACGCTCTTTTCCCCTCCCCGCGCCCTTTCGTCTTGTCGTGGCACAACGTCTTTTCGCACCCAGTCCTCCTCTTTTCCGCCATATTCATCGACCGGGTTAGGACTCTTTAAACTCTCCGTTGGAATTAAATTAGTTTTGGACTGTCTCACATCCGCGAGATGTACTAATTGCTTGCCAGGTGATTTACTGCCATTGTGTACGTCCGCACCATCAGTTTCGGCGCGCTCAGCAAGGGGAGGTGTGGATTGGCGAGTTCCTCGTCAGACGCAGAGACGGCTCGCCTTTCCCCGCCATGGTGCGAGTTACCCTTCACCACCCTGGTTCGCGCTGTTCTTCCTAGCCTTGCTGCGCGCTACCTCTCATACCACATTCCCGCCATACCCATGTCTCTCCGCACCGACCCGTCTTCCTGCCCATGAACGGCGTGCTCAGTGAGATGAGCACTTTATGATTGAGTTTACAACAGCTTGGACTGCTGCACGCATGCTCACGGGGTTGCGCTCACGCGCTTCTCGTAGACTTTTGCCTTGCCGTATTCTCATTTCCAACCCTCATCTGCCCTTCACTGCCCAGGTATGACGTGGCTGCTGCTGTCGGCGCCACTGTCAGAGGAGCAGCACGGCTTTGTGGAGATCTGACACGCGGCAGCCGACACGCGCTGCTGGCCATCTGGATGTGAGCAAGATCGAGGAGGGCGAGCTGGAGATGGGCACCGCGAATCTGGCATCACCGCGTGCGTCGAGGACAGCGTCATCCTGCTCGCGGTCAGTGCTCGCTTGCTCAGGATCTCTCAACGCTCCTCTGGTGGCCTTATCGATTCTTGACTCTCAATCATCGGTAGCTCCCCCAGATCCGTCGTCGTGCTGCCACCCTCCCATTCCCATCTTGTTATCGCTCTCCGTTCTCTCTCCCCCCCTCTCCCCCTCTCTCCCCCTCCACCCCGCATACCCTCACCCTCCCAGCTGCCCCCCTTACCTGGAGTGTAGGTGGCGGCTCTGCTCCGCCCAGTGCGCCAGATCACCCTCAACCGCCTCCTCGCCTTCTCCTGCCAACCTTGCCTCCTCCGGATTCTGCTCAAGTATGTGCCATGGGTTGGGATGGCATGGGTGGCGTGGGGTGGCATGGGATGCCATGTGGTGGCATGTGGTGGCATGATGGGGTACGAAACATGATGTGATGACATGGCGTGACGTGATGTGGTGGCCACAGGTGAGGTGTGTGGCATGATGCATGTAGGTGGCATGGCGAGGCATGTGGGGCATGGCGAGGCGAGGCCGGTAGAAGAATGCCTTAGCAACGCGAATTCCATGCCTGCAGCTGGCAGTGCAATTCAGTGTTTTCACTCCTGCCCAATCACATTTCTGCTTCTTCCTCCCGCTCTCTCCTCTCATCCCCCACTCTCTTGCCCCTGTGACCCCGCAACCTGTGTGCGTGGCATGGGAGCAGTGAGGAGAACGTGGTGAATCAGAGACCACGATGCTAGCGCGCATGGGGTATGAATGCATCGTCGCTGCCAACAGCCAGGATGCCATCTGCGGCCTGCAGGCACACTCCTTCGACATTGTGCTCATGGACGTGCAGGTGGGCGGTGCAATGCGATGCAGCAGCAACAGCAGCTGCCTCACTGGCAGCAGCAGCAGCACCAGTGGCAGCAGCAGCATCACTGGCAGCAGCAGCCATTATTGTCCCCCCCAGCTTCTGCCGCTCCTCCCTTCCTTACCTTCCCTTTCCGCTCCCGCCCCTCCCTCTGCTTTCCCCTCCACCTCCTCCCCCAAAACCACCCTGTCGCTCATGATCAGGTGCTGGATGACTTGTATCTGAACCTCGTTGACAGGTTCTATTCAATCAATCAACTGTGATGAGCGGAATGAGGCACCAACACGGGCAATGAGACAACGGGGAGCATCGGGGGAGGCAGCGATGGGGGGAATGGGGGAGCATCGGGGGAGGCAGCAATCGGGGGAATGGGGGAACATCGGGGGAGGCAGCGACGGGGGGAATGGGGCAGTAACTGGGGAGGCAGCATTGGGGGGGAAGGGGCAGTAGCTGGGGAGGCAGCATCAGGGGGGAAGGGGCAGTTGCTGGGGAGGCAACATCGGGGGGAAAGGGGCAGTAGCTGGGGAGGCAGCATGAGGGGGGAAGGGGCAGTTGCTGGGGAGGCAGCATCGGGGGGAAAGGGGCAGTATCTGGGGAGGCAGCATTGGTGCCTATAGGACAGCTAAAGTGGAGGCATCAACGGGGGGAGGGAGCAGTAGGGGGGCATGACAGGGGGATGAGGGAGCAGTGGGGCCGGCAGCGATGGGGGAAATGAGACGGGGGGGATACCAACGAGAGAGATGTGGGAGCAGAGTGGGTGGAAGTGCTGGGGGATGTGGAAGCAGAGGGGAAGGCAAGCAGTGATGGGCACTTTTTACTGCTATGATGCTGCACTGCTACTTGAGGCTCCCCGCCTCCCCCTGCTGTACGGTGTATAGGGAAGAGCATGTACCAAGTTTGTAGAAGCCGATAAGTTGCCCTTGCAGGCAAGGGACAAGGATGGGGAGTATTCGTAGGATTTATCCTGTAGTGCTGAGATGCACCTCTGATATTTTGTATTTAATTTGCGCCTGTGTGACTGTTGGGTAATTTTGATAGTATAAGACTGATTCACAACCTAAAAAGCACATGCAATAGAGTACTATGCTGGTGGTAGACAAACGTGACAATACAAAATGCTGCCTATATTGAGTGGATGTTCTTATAACGGTTGTTGTTTCATTGTCACAAATTCTATATTACACAGTTTACAAGTATAACGTATTAACTATTGTGTTTTTTTACTTTACAAAATGTTACACAACCTTATACAGAAACGAGTTACCCCCTGTCGTGGCTACCCTAGTGGCGGAAAGGGGTGTTCGTAGCAAGATGTGGGAGTGCAAAAACTATGCGCGATGTATGCAGCAACTATCCCCCACCATTGCTCCACTTAATGTCACAAGTATGTTCCGTTTGGCATAATTTGAACTATGTTACAACATTCTTTTTGCATAGTTTTTTGGGGCCGAAATTTTGTGACGTGGGCTTTCAAAGGCCGACATGCCTAGCAGCTGCTACGGTACAAATGGCAACTGCTTGCATGAGTGGCAGGCGCCATAGCGTGTTATTTAGAGAGAAAGGTGGTAGCTAGAGTAGATCTGCATTTGAAGCAGAGAAACAGATGGGAAGACGCTAGCATTCTTGCGTGCTCAGCAGGCTGAGAGACGTGAAACCCTTGCGCACCACGTCCAGTGCCTCTGCTGCCATTGAGGTAGGATGGGGTGCTCAGGGGCCCCGTGACGTGGCCACTTAGATGGACCGTTCTGTCAAGATGATGTGCGGTGCGTGAAAAGGGTGGTTCAGACCGCCGTTGTGCTTTGGGGCTCTCCGCGTGTCATTCGCGACGTCACGCGTGTGGTGCTCCACCGAGGGATTTCGATGTGGAAAATAAAATCCCCCTCCAACAGAACTGTACATGGTAAATCCAATTATGTTAATTGTCAAATAAGTGTACCCCGGGTAAACAATTACTGCCACCTTGATGTCCACCCTGGCATTTTTTTAAGCATTTGTAGAGAGTCCCCTGGGCCCTGTAGCCGCCACTTTACGGTAGGCATGGGTTGTTACAGATTGGAGAGGGCAGCCATGGTCACGAGCTTGGCTGGCACAGAGCCGTAGACTCTACGATTATTTTTGCATAGTCTGATTTGAGAAAAACACAAGTCGAGCATGATTCAACTTTTTTTCGAATCTAATGATAACGCCGCAAGTTGGGTGGCGACCGGCGTGTACTGTAGTGTCGGTGAGTTGGGACGCACGTGGCATGACGGGGAAAGGCTGAAGGAAGGTGGGGGGGAGGGGACTTGGGATCGAGGTCTGGACTGGGGCTGCAGGCAGGAGGGTCGAGGACTCGAAGGTGGGGGGTGGGGGTGAAAGGCCGGGCTGATAGGGGGAGCGAGAAATTGGGGGAGAGGGGTTGCGAGAAGGGGAGGGGAGGGGAGGCGGCTGGGTTGGGGGCCGAGGGAGAAGAGGGGGGCCGGTTTCAGACGGAAAAATACTTGCTGTCTGAAATTTCAGACAATGTGCTACGCTTGCTCTGAAAAATCAGACGAAAAATATTTACAAGTCTTACTGATCAGATAAAAATAATTCCTTTGTCTAAAAAATCAGATGAAACAGAAAATGTAAGTCTGAAAATCAGACCATCAGACCAATTTGGTCTGATAACGAGAGCCCTGCCGTAGAGCCAGTTGAAACTCACCGCCCTGGTGGGACACGTACAGGCACACACACAGAGATGCATGCACACACAAATGCGCACACACATGCACACAATAGGTAACGCAGCCAGAAATCCAGCAACCGATATTTTTTGTCACGATCCCAATGTTACGCTACCGTATTCTCCCGGATATAAGACCCGGGGGACTTTCCTAAAATAGAGGCAAATTCACTAGGGTGAACATTTAATCGGCACGAGTTCTATGAGTCCCGGGTACACTTAATTATCAAGCACGTACTGGAATGCAAAAGGTCCTAACTAGTCATGTACTCTGAAAGGGTACATTCCCTTTAGGGCTAATATAGGTGTTGGTAACGGCTTGGTAACTGTTTCACAGGCCGTGATGTGCAACAACCCTTCTAAGGAGTGCAGAGGTAGCCATAGCAATTGGAGACGGCAGGTGATGCACACTTCAGACCCTGGCAGCGCCAGTCAGTGGGGCAGGCAATGGGTGCAGCTGCCGCACACACAAGGTCTGTGAACCAGATGCAAGGGAGGAGGAACAAGACAGAAGAGGTGCAGACAGGGGGCAAAGGGGAGATGGGCAGAATGGATCATTTTGTCTTGAACTACTAATGCTGGCAAACAAAAAGGGAAGAGCAGCAAGAATGGACCATTTTGTGTTGCGCAAGCAGGTGTGTTACGTGTATGAGTTCTACTCACCAACGCAAGACATGGGGAGAACATCAGCAGCAGCAGTATTCGGCATCTTGGCAGTGAACAGCGCAGCGGCATTGGGCGTGCACACCCCTGTGCCGCCACACAGCATGCCCTGACCACTCGCACTGCCGCAGATATCACACCCCGATGCTCGCTGCTCCGTGACGTCCCCCTCGGTAGGAGTGCTGCAGGTGGTGGTGCTGGTGAAGCAGTTGGCAGCAGAGACGCAGGAGGTGGCGGAGTTGGCAGGGAAGGTGCCCGAGAGGAAGTTGTTGGAGAGGACGATTTCCTTGAGCGATGCTGACACCGGTGGCACGCGGTATGTCAGGTAGTTGTAGGCTATGCTCCTGCATTTGGAATATGGTGGGACGAGATAAGGAAGGGTCATAATGTAGTGGCATATGGTTTGGGCGTGCAGTTTCACTTGGAAGCTTAGAAGCATGACTCAAACCAATCAAGAACTAGACGAGGAGTAGAGGGAGATGGTGCAGGCCCCACATTCGTTGGCGCGTGTGGGAGATGGTTTAGCAGCATAAGGTTGGTGGCATGTAGGATGAGGGCATGAAGGATGGGGCACGGCACTGACAGGCGGGTGAGTTTGGTCATGGCGAGGAGAGGCGGGGGCAGCGAGCCCTTGAACCAGTTGTAGTCCAGCAGCCTGGAGGGGATGTGAAGCACACAGAGGAACGTGAACAGGGGATGAGGGGCGCAGAGGGGTGCAGAGCGGGCAGGGGGTACACATTAAAGATGGGGACCTGAAACCGACAAAATAGAGAAGGACGCTTCTTAGGGAGTAATCAGGTCGTACGTCTACAGTTCACGCTTTGCGGCTCAGGACGGTCCCACATGGTGGAAAGGTTTATGAAGTTCACAGTTTTGCACCATGATGCAACGAATTAGACCGCAGGGAATTTGCAACAGCCATATGACCTGGCCACGCCTAGAGGGCAGCATGCTGAGGCTCGAAGCTGAATGCAGAATGAATGTTTTGTTGCTGATTGGCTGGTAGATCACCGAGTGAAACGTGGCCAGACAAGGACTGCAAGGCTGGCAGGTGGCGCCTTGCTTTGTTGACGGGAAAGTTGGTTGCAGCACTGGGAGGTCGGCAAGGGACTCACAGCACTGCCAGGTTGGTGAGTGCAGGAAGCCTCAATGAAAAATCTTCAAGGCGAGCCCTGAACAGATTCGACTGCAGGTTGCTGTGAGGGGGAACACAGGGGGACACAGAGGAGACAGAAGGGAGGCGCAGGAGGGGCACAAAAGGGCCAGAGGGCGGGGCATGGGAGAAGAGGGGGCGCAGCACATGTTTGCACGAGGTGAAAAGATGTGATGGACCAACAACAAGAAGCAAAGGTCGAAGAACAAGCTTGCGGTGCCAAATGCATTGGTGTAGGCAGTTCACTGGAAGCTTGTCTACGCGGAGTGAACAGTTGCCTGCATGCATGCATTTGAGTTGGTTGCTTTGTTTATGCGAATGATAACTGTATGCGCCTTAAACTGGCACATATGTGATGGCTCACATGTACTCTTTCACATGCTTGCGTGTGCTTGCATGCACGAAAAGTTGCTCACAAGCCTGAAAGTCCTGTGGATACGTGTGCAGGTGTACACTCACAGGTGAGTGAGCGCGGTGAGTTTGGTGACATCAGCTGGGAGCACTCCAAACAGCTGCTGATTGTTGAGAATTCTGGAACAGGAGGGCAGGCCCAAAAAAAAAAAAAAAAAAAAAGTGGAAGGATCAGAATTTGGAGTGAGAGGAGTTGAGAAGGAGCAAGGGAAACGATGCTGGATTTAGGAAAAGTAGCACAAGAGCAAGCAGGGAAAGGAGTTGGGGAAGAGCAGAGCAGGAGGATGGACCATTATGCAGTCATTGCTATTTTTCAATAAGTTCAAGACTGCTGACTTTATGTACTTCTTCACAACTTGCACTCCTATACCTCACTTTCTACATGAAACATCTCAGAAATTGTTTGCACAGAACACCAGTCGTTCATTCATCCACAAAACGAGGGTTGTATTCAACACAAAATCACGTGCTCACATCTTGACGGGGTTGCCAGCCGAGTCACACTCCACACCCGTCAAGCTCCCACTCGCTACAGTGCCAGCTGTCCCTGCCAGCGTGCAGACAGCGTTCGCCGCCCACCCTGTGTGCGTCACTCCCAAGGCTGTCTTGATGCTCAGCAGCGCCGCCACTGTGGGTGGGGGAGGGGGAGGACGAGAAGAGTGGGGATTGAACTGGAAGCTTCGAATGGTGAGGGGGAGAGTGGCTAGTGAGCCTAGAGCATGTGAAACGAAGGTGCGGGACGTGCCATGCTTGCCCATGCCTGTGCCCCTCTTTTGCCAAGCCCGTGTTATGCCCGTGCCCATGCAATGGGGTGTCTTACTTGCAGTAGAGTTGACGGGAACAGCCGGCAGCAAGGAGCACTCCATAGGGAGCGCAGGGGTAGAAATGCTGTTGATCACGGAGAGGGATGCGAGGGAAGCAGGTGTGGGCTGGCAGGTTGAAGCACCACCGCCGCTGCACAACACCCCTGTGCCATCGACACTGCCACAGATACTGCACGTGTCTCTCTGAACAGTCCCTATGCCTCCGTCCGCCGTGCAAGCAGCAGCACTCGAGAAGCAGTTGGTGCGTGCCGAGCAGGACTGCCAGGAACCAGATGGGAAGGTTCCCACAAGGTAATTGTTTTCGAGGTCCAGGTGCTTCAGGGCAGCGCCTGGCACTGGCACGCTCCCAGTGAGGTAGTTGGAGCCCAGACTCCTGTGGCATGCATTGAGGGGGACGGGGGGGAGGGAGGGGGAGGGATTTGAGTGGATAGATTGCGCAACAGACTCTTGGTTGAGTAGGTGCAGCCCAGACGCGTGTATTTTGTGCCGACTGAAGAATAAAGAACCACACTTGCGGTGAGGCAGCAATGAGGAAGGGGCGAGTTGGAGGATGAAGGCGGGGTCAATTGGGAGGCAAAGTGAGGGGGCCTGAGTGTGTGACGTGCGAGGTAGAAGGATGCACAGAGGAAGGAGGTGAAGTGACGTGGGCAGGCCTGACACAGTACCCAACGACATGGAATGGTATATGGCATGGCATCATATCGCATTGCCTGGCATGGACAGGCCTGGGATGGCCTGGAATGGCATTTCTTGGCATGGAATGGCATGGCACACAGTGCCTAACAGTGGTAATCTCACAGCTTGGAGAGGCTCTTGAGACCTATTAGAGCTGGGGGGATGGGGCCAAACAAGTAGTTGTAGTGCAGCTGGCTGCACAAAGAAAAAGAAGAGGAAGGGGAGGCGGAGAATGGGAGGGGGGGAAGGGGGGAGAGGGGGGAAGAGTGGGAGCGAGGGGAAGAGCATGGGTAGAGTGATGCTCCAGGTATTGCATTCGAGAGTTCTCAGAAAACATTTCTGAGGAAGAAAGCCCATATTGGTGTGATGTGTGAATGCCGGTGATATGGAGATGGAAAGAGAAAGAACGGAGCACAAGAGGGCGAGAGGGGGAGAGAGAAACAGGGCCATTAATGACGCCACTGGACTCAGAGGGACACTTGGATCAGTAGCAAACTGAAAATACCTTTCCCGTACCAATTGACATTCTTATTCTACACACCGTGCTTTTGCAGCAAGAACCATTTGAGATTACTATCAGTAGAAAGGAATGCTTGAGAGAAGGACGTACATGTTTTCTAGGGTGGTAAGAGAGGTGAAGGGCGCAGTGAAAGCATCCAAGCGACCGGCTAAGAAGTTTGTGTGGAAAGCCCTGGGAGGAAAGCAGAGGCGGGCGTACGAGAGCAAACGCAGAGGGGGTGAATTCGGGAAACGGCAGGATGTGCCATTCTGTTGTCAAAGAATTTTGGTAAAAAAAAAAAAAAAAGTGGGAACATGCACGAAAGGCCTAGAACATCCTCCCTACAATCACCGTCATTTTGGTCCCAGGGTCAGCCCTGCCTGGTGCTTTGAAAAAAAACCCGTATGAAACAACAAATTTTCCAAGCCAAACAAAACCTCGGTACAGAACCATTTTCAACCATTTATTACAATAACATATGTACATATATTGTATAAACGCTAGTATCTTGTAAACTGGAGCTTACAGAGTGTCATCGAGAACAGTGGGCTTAAAGAGCAGTGAGTGCAGTGAGCTTACAGAGCAGTGAGTGCAGTGAGCTTACAGAGCAGTGAGTGCAGTGAGCTTGGAGATATCTGCATGCATGGAGCCAGCCAGCTGGCGCGTGTTGAGGTTGATCTCCACGACAGCCCCGGCCGGGCTGCACAGCACGTCTATGAGGTCGCTGGGGCCAGGGGAGGAGACGCTGACTCCGGAAACCACGAGGACCACCGTGCAAAGGGAGTTGCCTCCCCAGTCAGAGAAAGGCACTCCCAGCGCCGCCTTGAGACTCCCAAGCACCGATACTGGGGGGTGGGAAAGGGAAGGATGGAGGGTGCAAGGAGAGTAGGAGTGGAGTGATGGGGTTGAGGGACGGAGGAAGATTGGAGTCGAGGGACAGCAGCGAGTGTATGGACAGTGTGGAAGTAAGGAGGGTGGAGTGGATGAGAGGGTGTTAGAAACCAGACAAGAGGCTGCAACGGAATGTTGAGACTTGTCAAAGTCAAGCGCTGAGATATCCAAGAGGTTTAAGACGCCGTGGAGTTTTGAAACGTGTCAAAAGCAAAAACTGGGCAGGAAACGCACCTGCTGTGGCGTCAATGCGCACACCCGAGCACTGCATGGGCAGCAGAGCAGCAGAGTCACTATTAGACGTGAGTGCTGCCATCAGCTCCGTAGTGTCAGGCGTGCACACCCCTCCATTGCATATCACCGCACTGGAACTCCCAGCACCGCAGAGGTCGCAGTCAGAGGAGGTCCTTTGGGAGGAGGAGCCGGAGGCAAGGCACTTGGAGGATTCGGTTAGGCAGTTGTTACGAGCATCGCATGCAGTGGTGGAAGATGCTGGGAAGGTGCCTGTGAGGAGGTTGGAGGCGACGTTGAGGGACTTGAGGGAGGCAGAGGGAGTGCCGGTGATGCGACCAGCGAGGTAGTTGAAACCCACGTTGCTGGTGAGGGGGAAGGAGGGGAGAGAATGGGCCGGTGGAGAGAGAATGGGGGAAGAGTAAGAGAAGGCACGAGTAAGGAGGGGTGGGAACAGGGTGCGAATGAACAGTGAAGGGGAGTGCATGTGAATGATGACTGGTTTGCTACAGGGAGGTGCTTACAGCGCTGAGAGGGAGGACATGGTGAGGAGGAATGAGGGCAGAGGGCCAGAGAACCAGTTGTAGTTGAGAGACCTGGAGGGCAGAGGCGGAGGGAAAAAAAGTCACAAAGGTGACACAAGAGAAAAGTTACACAAGAGAAAAGTGACACAAGAGAAAGTAGACACAAGTGAAAAGCCACAAGAGAAGAGTGACACACAAGAAAAGTCCGTCACACGACAGAGGGACTCAACGCCTTGCCCGGTCATGCCGGGCTATACCTGGTCTGGCCTGCCCTCTTCATTCCGGGTTCACAACCACGCAGCAGAGAATGCCGGGAGTGCAGAATGCAATGTAAGGGTGCTGCCACGCAGTGTAACGGAGGAAGGGTGTGTAGGCTGGAGGACTGACAGTTGCTTGAGTGCCTTGAGCCCGGTGAGAGGCAGAGCCCACTCGCTCATGCGCACATCGAAGAGGTTGGACGCCACGTTGCTGCGAGCACGGGGGAATGGGGACATGGGGGTATGGAGGAGGCACGGGAGCAAAGAGGCACGAAGAGGTGAGTGGAGGAGAACGTGGGGCAAGGGTTGGGGAGTGGTGAAATGGGGGCTTGCAGTGTTGTTAGGTTGAAAGGGAATGGCATGCAGTACAATGCACAATGGAACGGGCATGGATGCTGGCCCATGTGTTGGTGAAAGCAGCGGCACTCACAGGTTGGTGAGCGCAGTGAGCTTGGAGATGTCAGCATGCAAGCTGCCACGAAGCTTCATGTTGGAAAGGTCCCTGTTGTGACGTCAGCAATCCCATGCCAGGCACGCATCAAAGAAAAGAGGTTGAAGCAATCCTAGTGTTAAGAGGAGCAGCAGTGCAGCAAGCAGGGCAGCACCCAAGCAAGGAGGTTGAGGGGACATGACATGGTGTTAGGATCAGGAGGAAGCAGTGTGGAAAACGGCTTCTGAACATTCGAGCAATGTTTCCCATGCTGACAGTTAGAGCGTGATGGTGACATGACACAGGCACATGCACGTATCACTTGCATAAAGCCCACGCCCATCTCCCATGAACATAGCCAACGCACGTAGCAACCCCACACATATCCGACACACACACACATCACCCCCACACGCACAGATTAAGGACTTGGCCTGAGAGGTCGCAGACGACGCCCGTCCAGCTGTCAGCTGTGGGGGTGTTGCCAGCGAGAGTGCAGGGCGAGTCCACAGCCCAGCTGCTTGCACTCACGCCCAGCCCCGCCTTTAGTGCCAGCAGCGCCAGCGCTGAGAGTGGCAGGGGGTGAGGAGCAGGGCGGATGAGCAGGTTAGAGGGGCAGGCAGGGTAGGGAAAGAGGGGCGTGTATGGAAAGAGAGGGTGTGTCAGTGGAAGAAGTGCATGGTGGGATGGGAGAGAGAGAGCAGAAGGGAGCACGATAGGGAGAGGTAGGGTGGGGGCGCTGATGAAGTGTGGCAAACACAAGGTGTGTGTGAGTGGGTGGAGCGCTGATGTTGGTGTGTGTGGGTCGAAGGCAGACACTGGACGTGAGCCCAGGCCGAGAAGATACGAGAAGGAGGCCATTCAGTCAGAGTACTGATCCTGGCATACATGTGCTGCTGCAAATGAAAGTGCTTCCAAGTCCACTAAAAAGTAACCTCTAATACACACACGTACATATCAGTTCCTCGTAAACACGTGTTTCAACTCTATTAGAGGTTATAGAGCCCCACTCACCAGAGTTTTCATCCACTGGAACGGCCTTGCAGAACATTTCTGAGAGGGCGGCAGCAGGGGTGTTCACAGTGCCGGCAGCAAGGAGAGCAGCGACATCGGGAGTGCAGGTGGTGCCCGCACAGAAAGGCGGGGCGCCCGTGGCGGAGCCACAGAAGGCACAGCCGGAGGTGCGCTGAGCCACACCGGCATCGTTGGTGCAGGAGCCCGGCGAGGAGAGGCAGTTGCTGCGGATGTCGCACAGCTGGAAGGGCCGTGTGGGGAAGGCGCCTGCCAGGAGGTTGCTGGCGATGGCCAGCACCTGCAGCTGCGTGGCCATGGCTGGCAGCGTGCCCGTCAGGTAGTTTGCTCCCAGCCGGCTGTGCGGAGGGGAGGGGGGGAGAGAGGTGAGGGAGGGCAAGGAGGGCACTGAGGGCACTGAGGGCAATGGGCATGGTATGGATATTGGCATGGGCATGGGCACAGGCAAGGGAGTGGGCGTGAGCATTTCCGCCTGGGCATTGGAGCAGGAGTGGGGCATGGTCATATGGCATGGGCGTCGGGCACAAATAAACATGGGCATGGTCATACAGCACGGGCGTGGGGTATGACCATAGCATGTGCACGAAGCATGTGCAAAATCGTGGGCATGAGAATGGGTTTGGCAGAACTGACAGCTCCGTGAGTTTAGGCATGTTGACCAGAGCCGATGGAATGCTGTCGTAGAGATAGTTGGAGGAAAGGTTCCTGAAAAAGCTCAGTCACGTGGATGAAAAGCACATGAATGAGTATATAGATGAGAAGCACATGAATGAAAAGATAATGATGAGAAGAAGATTATTGAAGAGAACATGAATGCGAAGCACACGAGGAGCATCTAGGGGTGCGAGTTATCAGGGGAAGAAGCTTTCTCACTCAGAGTGAAATAGTCCCACAGCGAGGTAAAAAAATTAGCGAGTCTGCAGTGGGCCAGTTGGTTGCATAGAATTGAACTCACAGAGCGGCCATGGTGGTGAGCGGCAACACGTTGGGCACGAACTTGGAGAGCTGGCCGTAGAAGAGGTTGTAGGACAGATCGCTGCGAGTGCGGGTGGGGGAGGTGGATGAAGAAAATGAACAAGAGGAGGGCCAAATTGCTGGATGTGAAGAGCAAAACAGGGGATGAAATAGATGCTCAGTAGTGGACCCAGGTGTGCAGACTCCAAGATGACTGTCAGATGGATGTGAAAAGAATAATGTGCTTGTTAACACTCCGGAATGCATGGGATGGGTTGTGAATTTTGGGACGTACAGGTAGGAGAGGGCAGTGAGCTTGGAGATGTCGGCATGGATGATGCCCCTCAGTGCCTTGTTGGGCAACGTGCTGCCATGGGATAGCAGGAGGCGTGGGGATAGCAGGAGGCATGGGGATAGCAGAAGGCATGGGGATAGCAGGAGGCGTGCGCCGTGAGGATAGCAGGAGGCTTGGGGTAAACTGGAGGCATGGGTATAAGGTGCCATGAGGTTAGCAGAACGACAGAAATACTCCATGCAGGTCCAAAAATGAAAGAGTTGGCCAAAGGGGCAGGGGAGGTCACATGGAGAGGACGGTGCCATTGGAGTTGCACCACACGCCCGGAAACGACTTGGGGGTGGCGCTCTGCCCCTCAATGTTGCACTTGCTGCCGTTGCGCCAGTCCGTGTCTCTCACCCCAAGAGCCGCCCCTAAACTCAACAGTGCCGACACTGCCGGTGGGAGTGCACGTGGAGGGGCGAGGGGGAGAGGATGCTGAGTGGATGCATGCAGGCCTGCACCGTGGTGATCGGTGGGGTGTCTATCTATGGTATGGATGGTGGCAGATCGAACGAAATGGAAGCACACATGGCGACATGGAGGGAAGGGATCCACATATGGCATTAGAAAGTGAAAGGAATCATGGCCGCACGTGTCAAGGAAAGTGAGAGGGATTTGGAAATACAAGGTGCATGACCTCACATGTGGAAGCAGGGACGGAAGGGAAGGCGCTCACCAGAGGTGGCATCAAGGGGCACGGCAGCACACGTCATGGTGAGCGTGGGGGCAGCAGCACTATTGGGAACCTTGGCGAGGGCAGGAGAGAGGACAGGCAAACAGGTGCCACCTCCGCACAGCCCCAGCTTATTCTGTGGAGACCCACAGATGCTGCACTCTGTTGCTGTCCTCTGCTCCGTTCCATCCAGGTTGAAGCAGCCTGAGGCGTTGGCAAAGCAGTTGAGGCGAGTGTTGCAGGCTAGTGTGGCGGTGGGGAAAGTGCCCGAGAGGAAGTTGGCCTGTATATCGATGACCTTGACGGTGGCACCGGGCTTGGGCAGCGAGCCTGTCAGATAGTTGTAGCTCAAACGACTGGTGGTTGTGATGGATGGGGGAAGTGAGGGAAGCGAGGTGAGAGGGGTGGAAGAATGGCAGAGAGATGATGAGTATCGAGTGTGAACAAAAAGGGGGAAGTGATATGACGGAACTTGAAGGGATGGAAAGGAATGGTGGAGTAGGGGAGGGAGGATGAGGCAATGATATTTAAGGGAAGCGGGTTATGATATTTGTTACAGGTTGAAGAGTGTGGTCATGTGTACTATTTCTCTGGTTTACTTTCGCCTTTTGCTTTTCGATTACACTCAAACATCTTCTGAAAAAGGGACAGAGGGTTTAGGCGCGGGATGTTACAGATTGGAGAGGGCGGCCATGGCCACGAGCTTGGTTGGCACAGAGCCGTAGAACCAGTTGAAGCTCAACGCCCTGGTGGGACACGTACAGGGATGCACACATGCACACAAGAACGCAACAGATCCCTCAAGGAGGACATGGCATGAGAGGAACCAAGCAGGAGTCTGTTGAGACGTCTCAGGGCAATTTTAGTACCAGTTGCGTTGTTGGCAGCACTATTGGGTTTCTGGGAGAGCTGTGGAGAGGAGAGGCACTCACAGGTCCTTGAGAGAGGCCGTGGGCAGGATAGGAACAACAAAGGAGTCGAGACGCTGGAAGAAGAGGTTGGATGACAGGTAGCTGTGGATGGGGGGGGACACACGGGGGGAATTGATAGGGGGAACCGATGAGGGGATTTGTGGGGGGGGATATACGGGAAAAAATGGAGGAACCACGGCAGCAGAGTGCAAAAAGAGATAGATCGTGCAGAGTCAGGTGAGTACTGAAATGAAAAGCATGGGATAATGCTGTGCAGCTGTGACAGAGAGATAGTTGGGCCGTAAGGCTGTGACGGAAAATGCAAATGAGTGCAGGCTACAACTAGCATGTTTCCCCCCGACACACAGA